TTTTCCCCTTTCAGCCCGAGTTTCTTGGGGCAGCTCCAGGAGGGGGGTGGTTGTGCCGTGGAAGGTGCCCCCCAGGCCGTGGCAGGGGCAGCAGGATTGGTGCTGGGCTCTCCAGGGGGTGCCTTTCAGCAGCCCCCCGGCTGGACACGGGGCCCTGGGGCTCGGCTGGGGGGTCACGGGTGGGGAAGATGCTGCTCCTGGGTTTTGGGGTCCCTCGGGTGGGACCGTGTCACTCCTCAGCATCCTCCCCAGCACCTGGGAACCCCCAAATTCCTGGCTCCCAACCTGAGGGTCACAAGGAGACAACGTTGAGGTGTTTTTTTTCCTGTTCTTGATGAGTTAGCTTGGCTGTCTTTGTTTGGTGGACCCCTGAAACATCTCTTGGTGCTTCTTCCTTGTTTTTTCCCCTGGCTGCTGGGGTTTGAATGGAGCTTTCCCCCCCTGCTCTGATTTGTGTGTTGCTCACAGAGGCTGGAGGTGCTCAGGCTGGTTGGGGCTCTTGGGGTGTGCTCCCTACAGCTTCCCCTGGCTCCTCTCAGGAGCCTGCTGCAGAGGGGACTTCTCTGCCACCCGAGGGGTGGTTTGGCTGTCGAGCAGCCCTCTCTGCTTGGCAAACCCACTGCAGAGGTTGGGGGGAATTTATCTGTTCCTCCCCATGCTCTGGGGTGGATTTATCTCCTTACGTCCTCCTGTTCCTGTAACGGATTTCATTCCTTCCTTTGGGTCATTCTCTTGCTCAGTCCCTCCCCTTCTCTGGTGGTTGGAGCCTTTGGAGACCTCCTCGTCCCGTTAGTGATGTCACTTTTGGGGTAAGTGATCCACCTTGGCTCATCTCCACCATTCTCAACCCTTTTATTTCTGCTGGGTGGTTCTGCCCTTCCTCTGATGGACCAGCAGAGCAGCCTGAGTGTCTGGAGCAGGCTCTGGGCACCCTGGAGTTCCAGCTACAGGTTCCATTGCTCATGGCTTGTTCTGTCAGGTGCCTCCCTCTGTGTCTGTGCCTGCTGCTTTTTGTGGTGGAGTCACTGGGACACTGGTTTCCATCCCTTCCTACCTTCTTAGCACTGCTGGGTGACTGTCCTGATGCTTTAAATCATTCTTGACATCAGAGAGGTCACCAGGATCTGTGATACCAACCACGTGTCCCCCACCCTGAGTCCTGCAGGGAAAGCTGCCCCCTTGGCATGGCAGTGGGGACAAGCCTGTGCCCTTCATCTCCCAGGAGCTCAGGGAGCTTTCCACACGCTGTCCTGTGGTACCTGAGCTGAATTAGCTGCTGCCTGCTGTGTCTTTCCCTCCTCAGAAGGGGACTGTGGACAACGTGTTGCTCGTGGGCAGCTTTGGGGGGCAGGAGGGGAGAAATCTGAGTAGAGAAAACAGCCTGCCAGTGGTTGGGCCTCATGGTCTGGTTGCCCTCCGTGTCTGGGTGAGGTGAGGGAGCACAAGGCTGCAGGAGGAGGCAGTGGGTGAGGGTGAGGAGCCTGCAGGAGGAAGGATTGGTGCTGTGCAGGGAGGAGGAGAGCAGCAGAGCTCAGGCAGGGCTGGTGACCCAGAGATAGCTGGCAGCAGGGTCATCTGCAGTGCACAGTGGGTGTCCCAGGGGGTGGCTGGGGGTGATAGGAGCCTCTCCCCTGGGCAGGGCTTGAGCGTGCTCCTGCTGAGCTCAGACAGCTCAGTGCCTGGAGAAGGGGCAGGGGGTGTGCTGGAGGCCACTGGCACTGCAGTGCCCCATGGTGCAGGCACTCAAGCCTACGTTCTCCCCTCCTAAGACCCCGGGAGCTGCAGAGCCTTCTAAACTCATCAGCTTCTTCCAGGGGCTGTGTTGTTCTGTTGACAAAAGTCCTGCTGAGCACTGGGGAGCAGTGTCCTGAGTGAATCTTCTGGTTTCTTCTTTCTAGAACAGGTTGAGAGGGAGCTCGGGCATCATCTGGTTCAACCTTTCATGCCAAAAGCATGGTTGACATCTCTACTTGAAACTAAAAACCAGGGTTTCAGCTGGGTGGAACTCTGCTGGTGTAGACAGCTCTGTGGAGGACTTTGGTGGGACTCCAGCAGGTTAAAGTAGATCCTTCTGCTGAGGCAGGGGTGATGGGAAGGGAGGGGTAGGTCTGCAGTGGAGGGGATGGGGTCTCTGTGTCCCTAGGGAATGGGAGAGCTGAATTTGCTTTTTCTTGCTACTCTCAGAGTCTCTGAACTTTGGTTCTTCTGGATGTGTACCAGAGTCCTAAAGAAGCCAGCTGCAGGCAAGGGAGGGGATTCCTGCAGCAGATGGCTTGAGTTCTCCTGCTTCATCCTGAGTTAGTAGCATCTGGGACATGCTGGTTGAGAAGGGTGAAACCAGGAGGATGTCAGGAGCATCTCAGACTAGACTTGGTGTGATTCTTAAAGATCCCAGGATAGGATTTCCCCCGAGCACATCAACAGGGAGGCCGTGCCTGCACACAGGGCAAAGGAACTGGTGCTGCTGGGCACAAAGCAGGTCCTCCAAACAATCCTGCCCTCTTTGTACACTCTTGCCCTCCCTGCCTGGGGGAGGCTGGAGGTGGAGGAGTTGCAAGTGCCAGAGGAAGGCTGTGGATGGCTCACGAATAACATCCCCTTGTGCTGCTCTCCCACAGCCAAGCCAGTTTTGAGGAAGACAGCCAGGAGCAACCAGCCGTGGGTCACTGGAAGCCACTGATGCCATCCAAAGGCAGCAGAGAGGAGCTGGAGAGTGGCTGTCAGGATGCTGGAGGTGTGGGTGAGAGCCAGTCCCCAGAGCAGCTCAACGTGTCGCGCCTGCGCAGCTCCTCGGTGGAGATCCGTGAGAAGGGCTCTGAGTTCCTGAAGGAAGAGCTCCACAAAGCCCAGAAGGTAAGTTCTGGAGTCTGTCAGGACACCCGAGGGTGGTGGCAGAGGTGGGTGGTGGCTGTGGCACAGCCTGGAGCAAGCAGAAGGGGACAGAGGTTGAGCTGAGGTCACCATAAAGTCCTCTGGAGCAGGACAGGCGTTGCTGGGTGGACCCAAGCCTCTGTGCCAACATCCAGATCAGTGCTGGAAACCTGCTGCAGAAGGCAGCTTGGGGCAGGGGGTGCTTGGGATGGAGCCTCCTTGCTGCTGGCAAATGGCAGTTCCAGCCCAAAGAGCCTCCTAGGAGCAGCTCTGTGGAGGGATGGGTGCCTCTGGTGGCACCCAGCCTGGTGTGGAGTTCCAGGGCAGGAGCTTGGGGCCAGGGGTCTGTGTGGTGGGAGCTGGGAGGTGAGGGCATCAGCACTGCTGGGAGCTCACACGTCCCCCTCCCTTTCCTCAAACAGGAGCTGAAGCTGAAGGACAAAGAATGTGAGAGGTTGTCCAAAGTCCGAGAGCAGCTGGAGCAGGAGCTGGAGGAGTTAACAGCCAGCCTCTTTGAGGTCCCACCCTCTTCCTTTCCCATCTTAAGCTCAGTTTACATCCCTCCTCCTTGAAGCCAGGCTTCCCCTGAGCTCCCAGCCATCTCCTCCCACAGCTTCCTCCTCTCCCCCTTGGAGGAGCATCCCCCTCCTGGGGATTTGGCTGCCTAGGCTCAGGGCAGGCTTGGAGGTGGTGTAGTTGAAGGTTGTCCCCTTCCTTTGGTGGCCTTGGATGGGTTGGGTCCAGACAGTGCTGCAGGGAGGCCCCAGCTGGGATTTGCACCTTTCTCCTCATCCTGTGGGAGATGCTCTAAGGTAGAGTCTGCTGTTTGGCTCCAGCCTGAGCTGCAGCTCCTGCTGGGTCGCCACCGTGCCTGGAGCAGTTTGGAGTGGTCCCCACACAAGGAGAGCAGGAGCAAAGTGCAATAACAAGCCAAGCAGGAGCAGTGGCCTCCAAGGTGTGGAGCAGCAGGTCTGGGTCAGGATCTGTGCCACAGAGAGTGATCAGGGTCAGGGAAAAGGTCAGGCCAGGAAGCCTCAGTGGGTCTGAGTCAGGTTGAGAGTCACAAGGATGTAGCACAAGTGGGTGTTAATGGGCTGAAGTTGCCCCAGGGGAGGTTGAGGTTGGATATGAGGAAGAATTTCTTCCCTGCCAGAGTGGTGAGGCCTTGGAACAAGCTCCTCAGGGAGGTGCTGCAGTCCCCAGCCCTGGAGGGGCTCAAAATCCACGTGGCTGTGGCCCTTGGGAGTGGTTTCATGGCCATGGGAGTGTTGGGTTGGTGGCTGGACGTGATGATCTTAGAATTCCCTTCCAACCTTCCTGATTCTGTCATGTTCAAGCCTGGTGAGGCCTGTCCCCGGGCTGGCAAGGGGCACAGCAGAGCCCTGCCCTGCCCTGGTGGCTTTGAGGCCACAGCAGGCCAGGGTTCCAACTGTCTCTGGTGCAGGAAGCCCACAAGATGGTGAGAGAAGCAAACACCAAACAGGCGGCGGCCGAGAAGCAGCTGAGGGAGGCCCAGGGGAAGGTGAGAAAGTGCTCCCCATGGCTTGAGCTCCATGCCAGCTTGGTGCCAACCCTGCCTGGCCTGCAGGAGAGGGGAGTTCCTGCAGCTCGGCCTCCCTGAGGTGCTGCTTTGGGCTTTTTCTCCCCCCTCTCCAGCAGACCCTGAGGGAGGGGTGGGGGGAAGAGCATCGTTTCAGTGCAGGCTGCTGCTGCTCCAGCTCCCCTGTGGGAAATGGAACCTCAGGGGAGTGAGGAGCTGTGGGGAGGGTTGGAGCAAGGAGCTGGGGAGTTGGCATCTCTTGGCAAGGCTGCATCCAGGGCTGCTCAACCTGGTTCCTCCTCGAGGAGAGAGAAATTTCTTCTGGGTTGTTGGATGCTCAGGCTGAGGAGCAGAGGGAGGGGTTCCTGAAGAGCTGCTGCTGAAAATTCTGGGTGTTGGTGGACATTGGGGAGAACGGGGAGAAGGCTTCATGGCTGGGCTTG